CACCTGTCCTCCGTGTACTTGAAAATGCCTAGGCAAGAGGAGGCGAAGAAAACCTTTGTAGCTGGGTTTGCCCTGAGGACAGGGTGATGTCAAGACCTTAAATATCTCAGACAAATTGATCTTGAGCACATGTCCAAGCTTGTTATCTTGTTAGCAAAGAATCCAGCAAGGAGACCAAAGGGTATGCTGGTTCAGAGAGAGGTTATATAGTTGGGAGAAACAATTCTGCATTAAGCAGCCAGTTTTGAAAGTGAGAAAGATCGGAAGGTCATTTCACAAGGTCACAAGAATATCAAGTCCATACTGGTTATACGAAACCAGCAGTTGGAAAATCTAAGATGCAGGTGTGCTGACCATCAGTCAAGAGAAAAACAAACAACACCACAATCCTGCACATTTAAGAAGCAAAACGATGAGGGCCTGTTCCTCTTGGCCTTGGGAATAGCTAAATTGCATCCCCAGGAGTAGCGTTTCGTGTGGCCAGCAGTCTGGTGAGCAGGAAACAGAGGCGACTATTCAGGGGGACTGAGCAGAAGCCAGAGTGCGAGGGGAAAGTCAAAGTGGGACTTCCAGTTCTCATTTCAAACGGTTATCCCTGAGGATTTGTTTCATTCGAGCCACAAAGATGCAAAATACAGTCTGCCCGCTGCTTGCCTGGGGATAACATTTTTTTCCTACTAGTAATGAAAAGCAGATGGTAGCAATGCTGGGGATTGGGGGTGGGGGTGGGTAGGGTAGTGGGGGCAAAATTTATTCTGCAAGTTGGACGGCACCACTGCTACATTGTAAGGCTCTGTCCCTGGAATCTAGTCCCTTCCTCCCGGATCTGGGAAGTCCTACCATAACACCCAGAAGAAGGAGAAACAAAGACAAGCAACATACCGAGTGGTGCAAATTTTTTCCCCCCATTTTGAGAAGGCAGTGTATCTGTGCCTTTAAACACCTGCCTGAAGAACTCTGATGGGCTGAAACTGTCTTTCAATAAGAACCTACAAGTAGCAACTAGCTGAAATAACCAGTTTTGTCAAACCCTTGGCCTGCCCCCTCTAGAATCAATAACTGCAGATTTCCTGGCCGATTCTCAGTGGTCCAATCTCCCTCCAAAGGCAGCAGCAGCCAGAAAGCCCCTGACTGCTGCAGCATCTACCTGAGGTCGCCTCTGCTCTAGACCAGGAAGGGCAGCTCCTTCTGAACACTTTCCCAGCAGGGACATCCTGCCAGGACAGAACGTTCCAACTCTGCTACACCCAGAAGATATAAAACAACCAAAATGTTTGAGAGAAGCAGTAATCAAGGGAGGGAGAGTAAATACTTTTGTATTGCCTTGGTTGGCTAGAAGTTGAGAAGGAAGTAAGCATGCCTTCCGGCACTCCGTGGAGCTGCGGGCCCCGGTCAGCCCTCTGTCCCCTGCTCTGCTGTGACTGAAGCCCTCACAGCCTGGTGCACACCAGCTACCCACGCCTCCAGGCTCCCGGAGGCACCATCCTCAGTGAAAGGGACCCTTTTGGGGTGGTGACCTGGGACTCAGTCAGCAAGACCTAGGGAAGGACTCTTTCCTCCTCCCCTTCTCCCATCCCTCAAATCTGTATCTTGGACCAAAAAGAGTAGAAAAGGAAGGTAAGAAGAAAATAAACTGTGTGACCAAGGAGTCATAACGATCCTCCCGGATGCCCTGTCTCCTGCCATCCCCTTCCTACATCTCACCCTGGGCAACATGTGACTCATTCCGGGAGGCCACACAATGTGTCACTTCTCTGGGCTGCCACCCATGCTGGGTCCCTTTGGCCTGCAGCGTTCTGCTGATGCTCATGGGAAAGTGGGGCAGGTGCTCCTCCCAGGTACCACAGCATCCTGCATTTCCTTCACACGAAACCCATCACTCTGCAGAAATTACTAATGACCTGTCTCCTCCACCATCCCATGACCCTCGCAAGAGCAAGTTGGTGTTCAGGTTTCCAGCACTCAGTCCCCTGTAACCTAAGTCCACCCCAACCCACTCTGCCTTCATCATTGGCTCCTCCTCTCCAGTCTCCTCACTGCACCATTGCCACAAGCCACTTCTTTAAACTGCTTTTCTATCTTCTCTGTCTCCTGTGTGAGGATCTCCTGCCTCCTGCTTAATCCACAGGGTCCAAATGCCTCAGCATGACCTCAGAAGTCTGGTAGTAACCACCCTCATTTCTAGCAGCTTCACGTCCTGCTGCTCCTTCACATGCAGTTCTCCACAAATAAGATCAGTGCTTCTCGCCACAGGCCAGTGGGCCTGACAGGAAGGGGGTGTGGAGGATGAGATGATCGCCAGGAGCAGGTGAGACTTCATGGAGAAGGACGCATACTGTTCCCTAGACTCACTTTTTTCAATAGCAGTTATCAAACTGTTGGTCAGGGGATTGATATAAAGATGGTACATCTAGATTTCACAAAGCTGTTGTTTCCTGAATAATCTGCACGAGATTGACAATGTGGGGTCAACTGGCTATAATGTGCTCCCACTTGTCTGATAGGTGACTACATTAGCCAGGGCAAGTGTTAAGCTATGGTAACAAAGAGACCCCAAAATGACAATGGGATAAGCAAGAAACACGTAGCAGTCTGGGCGGCCCTGGCTGTCAGAACAGCTCTGTCCCATGACATCAATCAAGGACCCAGGTTTCTTCTATTTTGTACTGCCTTCAGCTTCAAGTCCAAGCAAGCTGCAATGCCCACATTCCAGCCAGCAGGCAAGGGAAAAGAGGATATGGAGAGACAGTGAATTCAGTTTTTAGGAAGTGAACTGGACTTTGCACATGCCACTCCCACTCATATCCCATTGGCTGAAGTCTAGTCACATGGCCCTCCTAATGCAAAGGAAGCTGGGAAATGTAGTTTCTTGATGGGTACCATATGCTCAGCCAAAACTCAGCAGGGAGCAGGAGGTTCTACTGAAAGGGAGAAGGGGAGAGGATATATACAGGTCAGAGCAGCCTCTGCCACAGTAAACTCTGACCAATCATTTCTCTTCTTTAGCCCTCGCATCCCCACCTGTAACATGATGTGTTACCTTCCCTATCTCATAGAGCTATTTGGAGAATAAAATAAAATTGGACACATGAGGGCTTTGGATTATTTTTTAAAGATTTTCTAAGTGTTGTGCTAGAATGCAAAATCCTACTGCCACTAAAAAAATATCTATCAGTTTCTTATAAAGTTAGACAAAAACCATATGATCCTGCAGTCCTACTCCCAGGTATTTACCCAGGAGAAATAAAAACTCACGCTCACATTAAAAACCTATAGGCCAATGTTAACAGTGGTTTATTCATGGAAACATCCAAATGGATAAAGAAACCATGGTGTATCCATAGGATGAAATGCTACTCGCTCAACAATACAAAGGAATGAATTACTGAATATATGAAATAACTTCAGTGATTCTCAATGCATTATGCTAGGTGAAAGGAGCTGGACTCCAAAGGCTTTATGCTGTATTATTCAATTTAAAGTGTAAAACTCTAGGGATAGAAAGCAAATCAGTGATTGCCAGGGTCTTGGGGTGGGAAGAGAAGTTGGCCACCAAGGAGCGTAAGGAAATGATGAGGGTCGTGGAATTGTTCTATACTGTCACTAAAATGGGCACATTTTATGCATTAATTTATACTTTAATAACCTTGACCAAAAAAGCTATGGGTTAGCTATGCTATGCTAACCCATAGCTTTTATACTAATAACCATCTACCTAACAGATCAAATAATGGGTTAAGTTCCCATTTGAATGAGAATGATATAGTCCATAACTTTGTTTCCCATACATTTCCTCGAATGAATCCCACAGCAGCTCGCAGAGGCAGCAGGGCAAGCTGGTTACCGCTCTTCATCAGATGAAGCTCAGAATCCTTCAATCATTTGATAATGTCATGCCCCTAGTAAGTGACTCAGTGGCCTTTTTAATTTTCTGACATCTGCCCTTTACTCTTTCAATGTCATCATGCTGTTGAGGAGTTTTGAATAATGTCAGATAAAGACCTCCTCCAAAAAAATCTATTGGTTTGGAGCAGGAGCAATTTCAGACTAGCGGAATTTAAAAAATTCCAGATCTGCATCTGCCTTTCCCAGTGCCCCAGGCAGGATCCTCGGAAAACTCTGTCCCAGTCACGGCCACTCTCTCCTCCCTGGGGATGACAGTGTGACTCAGGCAGCAGGATGGAGCCTCTCTGGCTGTGGGAAAACAACACAGAGGCAAGATGACTTCTAGAACTCTGCCGCCTTGCAGCTCAGCAGCAGCACCCTTCCCGGGCCACGGCGGTGATGGGCCCCAGGGTCAGAACAAACAGCAGAAAAAAGTCAGATGCCGAGACCCACCTAACCAAGGAGGGCTGTGATGAGGAATGGGTGCGAGTGCTGAGCAGTTAAAAGCTTCTTCATCTAATTCTGTGCATCAGAAAGATTGCTGGTTGGTTCAGGTCGGTCTCTTTCCATTGCATAAGCCATTAATATTTGTACCACCTGTTAAAATGAATGAAATATTTTCACTTGTGTTAGGTGGTTTAATTCTCCCTACAGAGAAAATGATATTCGCATCATCCTCTGCAGGAGAGAAGAGAGAGACCCAGAGAGCCAAACTAACCCTTGCTAAGTCTAGCTAAGCTACAATCGGCTAAAAATTGGTGAAGTGGGATTTGAACTCACCTTCTGCATCCAAAGTCCACGTTCTTTCCTTACATCACTCTTCCTCTTATTCTTACACCCTTCAGGGATAGCACCTGCCCTTGCAGAGTGCACAGGCTGGGGGACCATCAGTGAGGACATGGGCCGTGACCTTGAATCAGACAGTTCTGATGTGCTCCCAAACAGCTCCCCACTGGCCGCTGCTTTTAATAGTGTACCTGTCATTCATGAATCTTTTAAACGAATTTCTATTTATTTATTTAAACCTATTATACCTTTTGGAGAAAGTAAGCTCTTTGAATATTACTCTGCTCTCTATAAAATGCTATTTCATTTTTTAATTTCTCTTGAACTGACCTCTTCCAAGTTCAAGTTGCAGTAATTGTTCCCTATTCCTACTCCTTCAGGTTGTATGAAGGAATCACTCCAGTCATGCCTTTCACGGTTTTATTCACATACTCTGCTCCATCCCAGAGTTCATTTTGTCGTGGGTCCACTTTGGTCCTCATCCAGAGAGGGTAATTGCCAGGGAGATCTCATTTCAGTATGGTCCCCAGGGCATGGACTCCAATGATGCTTTCAGAACTAGGCACCTGCGCGTTAGGAAAAGGAAGGCTGTCAGAGGATTTGCTGAGCAGAAGAAAATGCTGTTTCCTTTTATGAAGGATTTTACTTTCTCAAAGGAGAAGGGGTGTAAAATGCATCAACTGTTTTGTTCTTCAAAACCTGCTTCCTGTCGCATCGCATTTTTTCTGTGTTCACTGTTGTCAGACTCAGCCCACCCTGAATAACCCTGCTCCGTTTACCCTCCTGCGGTCTGAGGCAGGCCCCCTCCCAGAGCCCCTAAGTGTCGGAGCTTCCGAGCTGCCTAATTACCTGCCCGGTGGCAGCCAGGAGGAGGCTGGCCCCAGCTGGAGCCCAGCTGTAGAGAGATGGAATATTAAGACATTTTCCTTTCTTCTGAGTCCTTGTTAATTCTTCCTGGTGGTGATTAGCCAGTTATTTTTAGCTCCATCTAAGCGCCCTGGTTAGTATTCAGGGCTGGTTTGGACAGCACTGAGGCACACTCCACATGTTAATGTCCTGATTCCGGTGGTCCCATTGCACTGAGGGAAATGAGCCTGCAGGGTGGGCCCATTCCCCAGCCCCCCTAGGTGAGGCACCCTCTCCTGCTGCTCCCTGAAGTGCCGGCTGCCTGGCGTCCAAATGGCCTGCTGCTCTGGGGCCAGGGACAGAGTCTTCCAGGAGGGGTCTGGAAAATGAGCAATCTGGAAGCCATATGAGGAGATGGAAACAACACTTGCACTAGGAATGGGGGAACCAAGGTTGTAGTCTGGACTTTGTCAGCAGCTAGCTGTGTCACTCCGGGCACATTACCTGCCTTTTCTGAGTGTGTCTGGACCAGGGGCCCCTAAGTGAATAGGACTAAGGTCCTATTGCGTCACTAGGTCTAAACAGGAGCTGAAAGTGAAGACACCTGAGCCTGTTGAGGTTGTCTTGAGAGCTGGATGCAGGTGCCCTTTTCTTTCTTCCTTTGATCCATCTGGCTTCCCTTTTCCAAAGCTAATCCTGCAGTGAAGTGGTTGTTCTTACTCCGCACCCCTGCCTCAGCCTCCTTCCCATCGCCTTCATCCCTGGTGTCAGCTGCTGCCCACAGAACTCCCAGGGCTGCTGGGCACTCTCGGGAACCACTGTCCATGCAGCAAAAAGGGTGTCTAGGGAGATTTGGGCATTTCAGTGCACTTCCATTAACAAGATGGAGGAAGCCACTAGAAGTAAGAAAGAGACCCAACTCCATCCCATTGAACCAGCCTGGGAATGATGAATTCTCAGTGATGGGTCTTGCTGTACTTCCTGGAGTAAGGACAGACTCGAAGCCAGTTCAAAGAGATGTGTGTGCATCACCACTTTCCAGCAGCCCGCTGTCCCTCCACCTGGATGCCGCTTCCTCCCTTCCTCGTTCGTAAAATGGGGATGATAGCTGTCAGGGTAATAGTCATAAGGATTAAGTATTATGAATTCATATATATAATTTGGCTCAGTGCCTTGCGCCCAGTAGGTGCCACTGTACCTTTTGTTTAATCAGCCTTGATATGAAATTCAGTAATAATTGCCAACTTTTACTGAGGGTTCCCTCCAGGCCAAGCAGTGTGCAATGTACCAGCATGTCCAGTGCTTTACAGTGAGGACCACTCTACCCTTTGTACAGATTAAAACTGAGAACTATAGGAGGTCAGCCACGCACACGCCTGCAGTGTACATGAGAAGTTGGACTTGAACCCAGGCTCTCTGAGGCCAGCGTCTGAGCTTTCAGCCATACAAATAGACACATACTGCCTCCGAATGTGATGATGTGAACTTTTTAAAGCATACATCTTGAAGGTTGCACTCATGTTAAAAATTCCATTAGCCTTACACAAAGTAGATTTTGCAGGGGGGGTGGGGATTAAAGTTTTTTTTTCTTTTTTTTGTTGGGGGATACTTAGGTTTGTTTCTTTTTAATGGAGATCCTGGGGATTGAACCCAGGACCTTGTGCATGCTAGGCACGTGCTCTGTCACTGAGCGCTACGCTCTTCCCCAAGTAGATTTTAATAGATATTTTATTGATAAATCAAAACTATGCCCAGTCCTGTCTTCACACCTTTAACACGTGTGTAACCAGCCATGGATTCTGCTGTGTCATTTCTCTCCTGCAGAAGCTCAAGACAAGGGATTCCACATCCTCCACAGAGCTCTGCATTTCCCTCATCTCATTTTCTAGCTCAGGGGTTGTGGTATCTGCATACTTTTTGTCCAAGCCAAATCAGCTGTGGACCAGACCAAGAAAGTTTCCTTTGGCTCCGAGACCTCTGGTGGGCTTCTTTCCAGTCGAAGCCCCAGGCCTCTCCCTTACTGTTTCCTTCCCGCCCCAGGATGCCACTGAGAGCTGCGCTTGCGAGCACCTCTCGGCCTCCCTCCCAGTCTTCTTCAAGGGCACAGCTCTCACTGGGCTGACCTCTGGCCACTTCGTGACCAGGTCACTTCTGAAATTAGTTGAGACTATAACGGGCATGGGGCTGGTCAGGCATCGCTAACCTGTGGCTGTGAGGCAAACATTGGAGGACATGTGTGTGCACCTTTGAAAGGTTCCCACCATTTCTACTAGGCCTGTGCTTTGGTTGACCAGTAATCCCTCAGGGTGCAGTTAAGATATCTGTGTCTGGGACAAAGACTTTCAGGTAGAGCAGGCTGGCTGACTCTGCAAGGCTGGGTCAGGTGGGACCAGTTCTGTCCAGCTGGGATCTGGGGCAGCCTACCCTGCCTGACCTCCCACTTTGTCTCTCTGTACCGAGCACCCTGTAACTGGGTGACCCCCCTCTAGCCACTGCAGGGGGAAAGGTCTTTAAACTGCTGCTGTTTGCACAGACAAAGCCAAGCCCAAGGCCTCCTATTTTAACGGCCCTCTCTGCAAGTATGTCCTCCAAGGGACCGCAGCTGGCTGACACCCGCCCCACCCTCACTTTGAGTTTCAGAATTGAAGGAAACTCTTGGAAATCCTCCCTCGGACTGCACATTTTCTTGCAGTCATAGAGAGCAGCCAGTGCCACAACAGGTGCAGCGGGGAATGCCGTCTGCTTTGTTTCCCATTTATCCAGCCTGGCAGGCCCCAGAACGGCTGGGGGAGGGGCAGCTGGGCAGAGCCCCGGGGATTGTATTGTTTCTAGAGAGTCAGAGAGGGCGCCGTCTACCTTGGACTCTGGGAGCACCGGGCGGATGTTGACACTTGACAATTCTTACGCACCTACCTGCTGTGGGGCCCAGTTCGAGCTCCAGTTTTTCAGCTGTGTGCCCTTGGACCGGCTGCTTCACCTTTCCAATCTGTTTTCTCACCTGTGAAATAAAATCACTACTGTTTAGGGTGATTCTGAAGAGTAAATGAATTAAGGGCCCAGGAGTGGGGCCTGGGTTCCCTCTGTCAAGACTCTGCCCACTTTCCTGGATCAGTGTCTGGAAATCGGCTTCTGAAGCTTGTCCTTGGTCAGAGAAGACCCACCCACCCCACCCCCGAAAGCCAGGGTTTAAGGAGCGTAATGGGAAGCCTCCCACCCATTGGCAGGGCTAGTACTTACGAAAGCAGAAAACAACAGGCGTTGACAAGGATGTGGCAACCCCTGTACCTTGCTGGGGAAAATGTAAAATGGTCCAGCTACTGGGGGAAACAGTATGGCAGTTCCTCAAAATACTGAAAATAGAACTACCGTATGATCCAGTGATTCCACTTCTGGGTATATCCCCCAAAGAACTGAAATTAGGGTCTCTTTTTTCATTTTCATATTCTTTTTAACCATAAGTTACTACAAGATACTTCATATAGTTCCCTGTGCTATACAGGATAAACTTGTTTATCTGTTTTATATGTAGTAGTTAGTATTTGCAAATCTCAAACTCCCAATTTGTCCCTTTCCACCCCCTTCCCCCCTGGTAATGATGTTTTCTATGTCTGTGAGTCTGTTTCTGGTTTGTAAGTAAGTTTGTCTCTTTTCTTTTAAGATTCCACATATAAGTGATCTCATGTGGTATTTTTCTTTCTCTTTCTGGCTTACTTCACTTAGAATAATGATCTCCAAGTCCATCCATGTTGCTGCAAATGGTATTATTTTATTCTTTTTTATGGCCAAGTAGTATTCTATTGTATAAATATACCACTACTTCTTAATCCAGTCATCTGTCGATGGACATTTAGGTTGTTTCCATGTCTTGGCTGTTGTAAATAGTGTTGCTGTGAACACTGGGGTGCATGTGTCTTTTTGAATTAAGGTTTCCTCCAGATATATGCTCAGGAGTGGGATTGCTGGATCATAGAGTAACTCTATTTTTAGCTTTTTGAGGAATCTCCATACTGTTTTCCATAATGGCTGCACCAAACTATATTCCCAACAGTGTAGCAGGGTTCCGTTTTCTCCACACCCTCCCTAGTATTTATTGTTTATGGATCTTTTCATGATGCCCATTCTGACTGGTGTGAAGTGATACCTCATTATAGTTTTGATTTGCATTTCTTTGATAATGAGTGATATTGAGCATTTATGCATGTGCCTATTGGCCATTTATATGTCTTCATCAGAGAATTGCTTGTTTAGGTCTTCTGCCCATTTTTGGATTGGGTTGGTTGTTTTTTTCTTATTAAGTTGTATGAGCTATTTATATATTCTGGAAATTAAGCCCTTGTCATTCTCGTCATTTGCAAATATTTTCTCCCATTTCATAGGCTGTCTGTTTTGCTTGCGGTTTCCTTTGCTGTGCAAAATCTCGTAAGTTTAATTAGGTCCCATTTGTTTATTCTTGCTTTTATTTCTATTACCTGGGTAGATTGCCCTAGGAGAACATTGCTAAGATTTATGTCAGATGAAATTAGCGTCTTGATGAGATATTTGTCCACTCATATTTGAGTCAACATTAGTCACAATAGCCAAAAGATGGAAGCAAACCAAGTGTCCATTGACAGATAAATGGATAACAAAATGTGGTCTATTCATACCATGGAATATCATTCAACCTTAAAAAGAAAGGAAATTCTGATACATGCTACAACACAGATGAAAGGCGAGGACATTTTGCTAAGTGAATGAGCTAGCCACAGAAAGACAAATATTGTGTGATTTTCCTTTATGAGGGCCCCCGAGTCGCCAAATTCATAGGGACAGAGAGTAGAATGGTGACTGCCAGGGGCTGGGGGAGGAGGTGAATGCAGAGTTGTTGTTTAAATGGTACAGAGTTTTAGTTTTGCAAGATGACAAGTTCTAGAGATTGGTTGCACAACAATGTGAATGCACTTAACAGAACTGAACTGTACACTTTAAAGTGGTGAAGATGGTCATTTTAATCTTATGTGTATTTTACGAGAGAGAGAGAGAGAAAAGTTACAGAGCAAAATGGCAGTGATGGTAGCGACTGGTAAAAGGGTTCTTTGAACCAGGGCAGGCACTGAAGTCTAGCCTTCATCTTTCCAAACCATTCTTTTTGGTTTATTTTCTCTACAGATGTAGATAATAAAAGTAATTACAATAGTAAATGCTACTGAGAATTAACGTGGGGTTTGCACGTATCCTTACCTTCCATTTTTACAACAATCCAGTTAAGTAGATATCATTATCCTCAATGGGCGAGTGAGGGAACCAAGGTTCATGGGCTTAAGTACGAGTTCAGTGAGTTCTGCCATCGGCTAGCTAGTGCTTGGCATACAGCTGCAGGGGTCTGCACGGTGTGTGCTCGGCACAGGGGCACGGGTGTACGTGGAGCTTCTCTGTGACCCAGGAGGTGACATACACAGTGAGAGAGGCTCAGAGTACAGCCTTGAGGTTACAGGAAGGGGCATCCCAGAGACTCAGGGGTTCTTGAAGAGGAGAGGGCTCTGAATTGGCAGAAAGTGGGGGAGTTGGGAAGCCCTAAGTTCTAGGAGACAGGAGGTAGATTGTAGATCTAGATGGAAAACAGAATTCTTTAGCAGGGGAAAGGGAAGTGCAATTACAAGCAAGATTTCCTAATGTGGGGAAGAGGTCATTAGGCTGGGGAAACGCTACGTTGTGCTGTCACTGCAGGCCTGTTTAAATCCACATCATATTAGCTAATACTTATTGAGCCCTAATTGTGTACCAGGCACGGCTCTAAGTTCTTTACATATAATAGTGCACTGAATCCTCACAGCAAACTTGTAAGACTTGTTCATTATACTCATTTTATAGATGAAAAAAACCAAGCCTCAGGAAAATGAAGTGACTTCAGCTACCATCAGGGAGCCAGCAGAAGGGAGTAGAAGAGCCAGGATTCAAATCCAGATAGTCTGACTCCAGAATCCAAACACCCCAGCCCCGTCGCATGTGGTTTGGTGATATGGAGTAATCATCCCACCAAAATCATTTGTGTTTAGTCCTCGGCATGAGTAGCAGTCTTGTTTGGTCCGAAATGAGTATTTTGTGATTGGTCACTGATGTTCACGTTTTGTGCATGTTTATGTATCCCAGAGGCTCACAAAGAGCCTGTAGGTGAACGAGAGGAGCTGTGAAGGCGGGGGTGGGCGTGGGACTGAGAATGGGTAGTGACCCTACATGTTCTTTCCAACCATAAGTCATGACTTGGCCCCGTGGATTGTGTATTTGGCATACAGCCAGCAGAGATCAGAAGGGACGTCAGTTAGTCAGGAGTTGGCATTTTTAAGTGACAGAAACCCAACTCAAGCTAGCTTAAGCAAAGAGGAAAATCTGTTGTCTCCTCAGACAAGCTTCAGAAACAGCTGGGAGTGAAATCAGCTTAGGAACACACAATTATCCTGGAGATCTCCTAAATTATCTCCTAAGAATCACTCCTGCTTAAAATTGGACTAAGGGTCGTTTGCATGAGAATCACTTAGAGGACTGAGATGGAAGAGTGAGATAAAAATATAAATATGGGGAGAAGATTCTAGACCTATTAAATCAGTCTCCCTGGGGATGAGGGCGGGGCGGGATTGACATGCTAAACAAGCGTCCCTGGTGGCTCTCCCAGTTCAAAACTTGAGAGCCACTGCCTAGGTTACAACAGCAGCAACAAGGCGTGTCACGTGGTCTCTTTCTTTTCCGCTCTCGCGGAACAGCGTTCCTTTCCTAAAATCCAACTGAGTCGTTCTCCAACAGTGTGATCACCTGAGGAAAGCCATTTCCCCATGGGACTGTGGGCTGCAGGAGGGCAGGAAGAACATGCATTGGTATGATGCTGTCTGTAGTATTCTCATTGGCTAAGCTCAGGGTCTGGTGCATAGTAGGTGCTCAATTAATACTCATCAAATGAATGAATTTAATGACTTTTTGTGCACAGAGTACTCTCACATACTTTTTCCATTTAATCCATACAACAGCCCCCCTATGAAGTAGGTAGGCTAGACATTATTACTTCATTTTTCATGTAAGAATTCTGAAATCCGGAGAGAGGTTGACTGGCTCCAGTCACATGCATAGTAAGCGGTCTCTCACCTCCGATTCTCTTGTCTTCCAATGGGCTCATCCAAACGGGCTGGGATGAGAGTCTGCTGGGTCGCTGGGCCATTATGAGAAGGTTCTCAGAAAGGCAGGGGTGGCACACGTGATCCCATTCCCCAGCTGGTCCACAAGCCTCTTTCCTGGGCACTTTCTTCTATTTCATGTGCCTCTCTCTAGTGCAACTCAACTTTGATAATGTTTTGTATTAAACCAACTCGTCTTCTCCCTCCAGGAGTTGGGAAAGGAAATCAAAGGAAGAGTGAGAAAAAGAAGAGTTCAATGACTCAGAGACCTGCAGGCAATGGGACAAAGAACCTCACGTTATATCCAAATGTCCCCAGACCTGGTCTGCCGTCTGTAAACCCCGAGATGAGAACACAGACGTCTAGCAAAAGAGCTACAGACCATTAGGATGACGGCAAATAGCAACATTCATCTGCCGAGATGCACAGAACTTCTGGGCATTTTGTTCAAAGTATCGGTAAGTATTTATTGAACTATATTTGATTTACAATGTTGTGTTAGTTTCTGGTGTACAGCATAGTGATTCAGTTTTATATATATATATATATATATATATATATATATATATATATGTGTGTGTGTGTGTGTGTGTATATATATATATATATATATATATATATATATATATGTATATATAGTATTAGTTCGTATGTCTATACGTGT